ACTTATCTGACTTCCTAGGTATCTAAAATCAGCCACTTCTTCTAATTGTTCGTCTCCTATCTTTATATTCGCTCTTTCCCTACTTTTTCTTCCCTTGCATACCAGTATTTTAGTTTTACTTTTGATATTGTACTAGGAAATATAAAACTAATGCTTTCTGTGAATAAGATACTCTGACACATCAGCACGCCTCCGGCGGGCAGGAGCTTTAAATATACTACAATCTGTCATAAATCTACCTAACCCAACAATGCCGTCACCAATGCATATACATCTCCAAGCAGTCTGCCGTAGTATTGCCTATTTTATGTCATAGGCCACCAAATATTATTTTTCAACGTTCGATAACTATGCTTCATTATCATTTCCGCATCCAATATATATATCAAAATGATCAGCATATTCACCTGTACAACATACTAAAAATTCATATTCATTGATGACGTCTTTTTTGGTTGGTTAGGTGGATTTATGACAATCTGGAGTTCATGTAATGCCCCTGCCCTGTCATGAGTATTTGAATCACAGAAAGCATTAGTTTTATACATTTCTTAGTACAATATCGGAATTTCATACAATTCCTAGGAAATTTATACGTTTCCNCACAAGTCAACCTAGTCTGGGGTTGTAAATTAGTATGAGCAAAATTGGACTTGGTCTTACATTCTTGCTAGATCAAGACCAAGACCGAACGAACAAGACGAAAACTAAACCAAAGATTAAACGAACAAGACTAAGTCTTAAACCAAGACCGAATATGTAAGACCAAGGCCAAATACGCAAGGCAAAATGAAAAATTATCACTTACGGTGGATTTATGATTTAAACTATTTGAATCAACTTTAATATATTCTTTTTATTATGTTAGCGCGGAAAGCTCGTTTTGCGTGGTATGAAATAGGGAAGAAATGGCCTCTTTTCAGCCGTGTTTTAGTCGGGAGGCAATGAAATTAGTCTTTTGAGCGCATGCGCTGAATTTTATGGGCATGCGCAGAAATCAGTTGTTCAATGACAATATCTTTCTAACCTCTAAATCATTTACTCTTATTTCACCAACTATCAATTTAATGACGAGCTTTCCACACAAACATGACAAAAAATAGTATACGTACCTCGGGAAGAAACAGGGTTATCTCATACTGCATGTTTGCAGTCTGAAAAAACCCTATTTTTTCCCTTGATACGTAATGTACTATTTTGTCATGCTAGCGCGGAAAGCTCGTTTTGCGTGCTATGAAATAGGAAAAAAATGGCCTCTTTTCAGCCGTGTTTTAGTCGGGAGGCAATGAGATTAGTCTTCTGAGCGCATGCGCTGAAGTTTGTGAGCATGCGTAGAAATCAGTTGTTCAATGACAATGTCTTTCTAACCTCTAAATCATTTACTCTTATTTCACCAACTATCAATTTAATGACGAGCTTTCCGCACAAACATGACAAAAAATAGTATACGTACCTCGGGAAGAAACAGGGTTATCTCATACTGCATTTTTGCAGTCTGAAAAACCCCTATTTCTTCCCTTGATACGTAATGTACTATTTCTTGGAGCAAAAAGTGTTTAGTATTAAATTTTCAGTTTAGTTTACTAGATAAAAAAAGAGAAACTTTACCACTGTTTCAAAAAAAGGATCTACAGGAATGTCCTCGGCATAAGTGTTCATTGTTTCTATGTCTGGATAACACAGGGTTGAAATATACCTATAGACAAACTAATTTTTTTTTTATATTTTTTACTTCTTTCAAGTACCATTTTTTTCATTAAAAGTTGAATTTATGAGTTGGAGAAAAAGTGAATTTAATCATTGAAGGAAGGGTAGATAAGTTTATCAAAACCTTCAACAGTATTCTCCTTAAAATCATGACAAGCTAACATGTATGAGATGAGAAAAAATTTCAGCATTTAAGACTTTGTGCTTAAAAGAATTATTAAAAAATACATAAGTATTAGATTAAATGAGTAAGACCAAGACAACACGCAAGACCAAGACTGAGACTATATCAACAAGACCAAAACCACTACCAAAAATGGGACAGTCTAGCTCTTAATCTTGCTTTACGCATCACTATTGTAAATGAATAAAACAATAGAGTGATAATTTATGACGCTCGGCTTTCAAAATCGTTTCATTATCAGGATTTTGAAAATTCCTAATATCAAACTCAAAAAAGTTGCAGTTTGTGGTCGCTTTGAAAACATTTCTACATGAAATAAAAAGGAAAAACGATTAAGAGAGCTGTCATGTACGATCTATCGTTAGTTATCGAATTAAAATCTAAACTCAAAATTAGCCGAGGGTAGCAAAATATTAAAATATTTAACCTCAAAATTCGAAGGATGCTAATTTAGCTTATTTAGTTTTGAAATTAGGATATCTCTATATTCCAATATGCTGAGGTAATTCTGTGGCTTAATTCATATTCAGTGTCGAAATTAAGATTAATACATTCCAAAATTTTGATATGCTGGGACAACTATCAAAAGATAGCTCGAAAATTACTCCTCTGTGGGTTGTTATACCCTTCTATTTTACCGAGTAATGCTATCGAAAACAACAAGAGGACTCCTCACTTTATTTATAGAAACTGGCTTTCATTTAATCTCTCAGTAACTTTAGATTCAGGTAGTCCTTGATGTGTTGATCGAAAGTCTTAATGGTCGTAAAGTCCTCAAAATTCATGTTTTCAAGACATAGGTATAACCCTCTGAAGTTAGACTTTTAGTAGGTTGTGCAACTGTGTAAAACTGAAGCATGTTTTTGTATATCTTCTATCACTTCAGCATTTATATTTTTCTCAACTTCTTGTTGTTCTATTCTTGCTCTAACATTGAATTTAGCAAGAAGGTCCTATGAGCAGATGTTATCATCATCATAAAGTCTTCAGTTCTAAGACTGGTTGGACACGCACTTCCACTCCTTCCTATCCTGAGCTAATCTTCGCATTTCTCTAAAACTAGATGTTATAACTAGAATGAAATTAGCTTTTGTAAACTACTGTGATGTAGTAAACAAAAATCGCACTTTTGAGGGTCAAATGGTACGTAATCGCGCAATCTAACCACGCTATACATCGGTTCGTAGGCTCCCTTACTCACACCTTCTCCACATATTATGTGTTTGTATATTTAACATATGTGCATCGAAATACATACACATATACACCAGTGCGAAACCCCCGAAAAGTCTAACTTCGGAGAGTTATATCTTTAGGCTTTAACGACCGTTGAGACTCTTGATCCACACATCAGGAACTATAATACTCGAATCCAAAGTTTGAGAAAGTTTAACCGAGCACCGTTTTCCATAAAGAAACTGCGAGGACCTTTTGGTCTTTTTAAGAGGATTACCTAGCGAAATAAAACGACACAATAGTCAACCAACTATTTAAGAATTGTCCCAGCATATGGAAATAACAGTAATAACTTATAATATACACATGAAGGACTAACTGAATTTAATGTTTCGGAGAATTAAACCGAGGACCTTTTTTCATAAGAATAATGGGAGGTATTTAAAATTCCTGAAATGTCTGAATTTGATTTGATTTGAATTCAGCGTTCCAACTGTATCAAAAAAAGCAAAACTGGTCCTAGTTTCGTAATAGGTATATCTTGACCAGTGTTGTTAATTATAAAATAAGGTGCTTTTGAAAATATGAAATGAACGTCGTTTTAGGAAAAAAAATTGCCACGGAAACCATTTCTTTACCCAAAGCAATTCTTAATATTCCTGGTAGAGACAGTAAAGCCACTCAGGAGATACTTTTCTTGGCTGAGAATTTACCTCCGTTAGGATTCAAAACTTATTATGTTTCCAAAACTGAAGGAGTTGTATCTAATAAAACTCATCAAGAATTTCAGGCAAATGTAAGTGATGAACTAAGAGAATAAGTTTTATTTAAGTTTTCATTATTTAGCCAAATAAAAATAGTAATGGAGACGTCGAAGTAACGAAAGGTGATATCGGTTTGACTTACAACGAAGAAACGGGTCTTTTGACAGGAATAAAGATGAACGGAGAATACATACCAATTACTCAAAAATTCCTTCTGTATAGAGGATTCATTGGAAATAATGGAAATTCAGCAAATAGATCATCGGGTGCTTATATTTTTAGACCTAATGATTCGAATGTGTATACAGTTTCGGAAAAAGCCACTATAGAAACTTACTTGGGAAGTTTAATTGTCGAAATTAGACAAACATTCAGCGACTGGATAAGTCAAACAATTCGCTTGTACTGTTCGGAGAACTTTGTCGAATTTGATTGGATTGTTGGACCAATTCCGACCGAGTATGTGCTGATATTTTATTGTATTTAATTATGTAAATAGGTACTAATTGCTATTTTATACAGCGGAGGTAACGGTAAAGAAATTATAACTCGGTACACCACAACTTTGAAAACAAATTCGACCTTCTATACGGATTCCAATGGTAAGGAAATTTTAAAAAGAGTAAGAAACTTTAGACCAACGTGGGATTTGAATGTTTTTGAAAATGCATCTGGTAATTATTATCCCGTCACATCTAAAATATCAATTAGAGATGAAACAAATGGTTTGGAAGTGGCTGTCCTTACCGACAGACCCGAAGGTGGAAGTAGTCTAAGCGATGGTGAAATCGAACTTATGGTTGGTATTTGCTATTAGGGGCCGTTCAAGTATTACGTAAGCACTATGGGGGGTGGGGGGTCTTTGTTTTGCTTATTTTGGATGACATGGGGGGTAGGGGAGTCTAGATGATGATTACGTCATCGGTAGTTATTTACTTTTTTACACAAATGGCAACCCTCACATTGTCTATGCTTGAAAATGAAACGCATTTTTAAAAATTCCCGCAAATAATGCATACGTTTAGGCACTCGCTTTAGAACCGATTAGGGGAATTACCGCGCGCTATTCACTTGTCTAAATTTTCTCCGTTAGTGTATTGTTTTGTTTGGATACTATAGCGAGTAGACGTATTGTAAGCATAGCAAAGCAAGTTAACATTTGTGTTACCGTTGATTCCATTAGCCAAAGTTTAACGTTTAAATAAGATGTCGTTTCAAATAGACAAATCCAAGTTATACCAAAAATTGTTTCAAAGTTTTAAAAAATCTCATGCGAGTACGAAAGTACAAAATGTACAACGTAGTTAACGAAGTGTGGCGAAATTATAAATTACAAGCAAAGTCCGACAAGGAACTAGATATTATTGTATCTAAGAGAATTGAAGAAGAATTGCAAGCGGCGACTAAGAATAAATCCAATCTACTACATTTTTTTTCCAAGGTGAGTTACGAAATCATTTTAGGTACCTATAAGTACTAGAAATATTAGAAATCGCCAAATAGTTTCTCTTTACATTGTATAACAATAATTTAGAGGTTTTATGATTAGAAAATATTATGGCCTATCGCAAAGTATAGAGGTAATATTCATTATATAGATTTATTTCTTAAGATTGACTCCGTCAATTGGCCACAAAATACAGTGTGTTAGTTTTCTCTATGTGATGGGTTCGATTCCTGGCTTTAAAGATTATTTACAATACATTTATAATTGAAAAATGTTTACGTAAGCATGGGAGGAGGGGGTAAGAGCTTTGCTTACTTTTGCTGACAAGGGGGATGGGGGGGTAAATGATTGTAATAAATCTGTTACGTAATATTTGAACGGCCCCTTATATGTGCATTAGTATTTTTATGTATCCAATTAAATAAATTTTTAAGATTCATCGCAATTGCTTTGCTGACGATTCTTTTGGCGTTGGGGAAGCATTAAATGAATACGCCTATGGAAAAGGTTTGGTGGTTAGGGGTTCGCATTATTTTAGTTCCGGGTCATTCTTAAAATTAACAGGTTAACGAATAAAATTTATCGCTTTCGAAATGGTTTTGGTCTGTTACTATTTTTCAGGAGATCAAACCTTAGCTTCTCAACAGAAAGATATAGCACAACGTAAGCTACTGAGAGCGTGGACTTTCTTAGCTCCAACCGACGGTCTTTCTTTCAAGGAATACAAAGAGAAACACGTTTTACAGTACGAAGGACTCGTCAAAGCTTTGCCGAAGAATGTTCAAATCCTTACGCTTGAGCCTTGGATCGATCAATCGTTTTTGCTTCGATTAGAACATGTTTTCGAAGTAAACGAAGATCCCCATTGGTCGAGCAATCAAATCGTTGATCTCAATGTGAGTGATTCCTTATGAATTTATGAATCCCTTAAAATGGCTACAATATTTTATCAGGTAATTCTTCTTTTAGGACATTTTTACATCGTTTGAAATAACGTCAATAGAAGAAACGACTCTTGGCGCAAATCAGTTATTGAAAGAAAACGAACGTTTATATTTTACTAGAGAGACGAACGAATGTCGATTCGATTGGAAAAACGCAAATAAAATATATGACGCCACCAAAAAATTAAAAATTGAGCTGATGCCAATGCAAATAAGAACTTTTATTATAGATATTAAAAAGAAGTAGATAAATGACGAAACAGTGTACTTAAAAATCACAAACGGTTTTTATTGATGATGACATTTGGAAAAATATACATAAATTATATTGCTTTTNCACAATTTTAACAGAAAGTTTGAAAAGATATTTACAAACAAGAATAATAAAAATAGAAATATATATAGAAACATTTTAACATGATATAGCGGCCAGGTATGCGCGGCCACAACGCTAACACTGTTTATTGTACTTTTAATAGTAATATGGAAATACATACTTACAATTGGCAGTACTTACCAGTCATTTGTGAAATGTCAATGACGTTTGAAACGATTGAGATCTCATTTATTTGTACTTTTAGCAGTAATTTTAATAATAATTTGGAACCGTCTTTACTCTATACTTGGCATTATTGCCAATTCTAGAATGTCAATGACGTTTGGCACACTGAAATTTCTCTTGTTTGTTCTTTGTTGTAGTTTCAATGACATATGATAGTGTAGTGACTGCAATGTTACAAACTTGACAACAGAAATTTTGTTATTCTTGAGAACATGCAATTGTCTTAACTTATGAAAGGTTACCGGACTTCACTGTCAGTACCGTAATTCCTTTTTCTTCCTTCTCGTACGTAAATTATTGGTTAACGGGTTTCGCGCCGCTGATTGGTATGCGTGGACACGTATAATAAATTTTATTAATAGGCAAAAGTATGCGTTATAATAGCATTGTAACCGTGGTTAAGAGCCAATCGCCTGTACGTTTACCAACCTGTTGATTGCGGTAAATGCGTGTAAGTACGTGACAAAGATACTTAGCATTCAATCGAACCTAAATATATGTATTTTATATACCGGTTGCTAAAGAGCAGATCTTGGCGTAGGGAATCTCAAAGTGCGAACTGTCAATATATATAAAAACTGTGTATTTTCCCACAAAAAAAAACTTCCAGCTAGTGTATGCGCACGGCGCCGTTCTCTCAGTATTAGAGATGTCAAGATTTGCATTTTCGCATATGGTATATATGTTAACGGTAATCCGTCATTGCATACAATTCCTAGGAAATGTATATAATTCCTAAAATCACCCGGAAATGTGTGAAATCAATTATATTAAACCCATTTCTTTGGAAATCTATACATTTTCTAAATAGCAATCGGAAATGTATTACATTCAAGATGTATTCACAGATAACTCTGATTCTCAGTTTACCAAGTGTTTTATTCATTTTATTCACAGAGAGCATTAGTTTTATGAATTTCTTAGTACCTGCAATATCGGAATTTTATACAATTGCTAGGAAATGTGTATGTTTCCGAGGATGTGTGTATTAAAAAATCTTTGAAACAATATTTTATACATTTCCTAAATAGTCTCGGAATTCCTGTATTTCATACATTTCCGGTAACATATACACCGATTATGCAGATAGAATGCAGGCACTGCTAGAATAGATTCAGCTCGTGTTAAATTTTGATAGAGGGAGAAGGGGGCAGATAAGTGAAGGGGTGGAGTGGGGAGTGCAAATTTGTACATCCGAAAAACAATTCAATGTATAAAAATGGACAGTTTAGTGTCTAAAAACTTCGTAAATAGACAAATTTAAACTCTATAAGAGCAAAGGCTTTCACGGCCGGAATCCATAGTAGAATGAAGATTCGGGCCATAGGGCCGTGGTCTAAGTGAACTATTCTGTCCAGACGTTTCGTCGGTTACTGCGGCTGACATCTTCAGTGGTAGTGCGGTGTTTACAACGACGTCGCTGTCGAGACTTCGTGATATTATCTACGTTCACGTTGTCAACGCAGCACTACCACTGAGGATGTCACGCAGTAGCTGACGAAACGTCTGTTCAGAATAGTTCACTTAGACCACGGCCCTATAGCCCGAATCTTCATTCTACTATAAATTTAAATTGTTTCGTATTTCACGAAACTAATTCTTCTATCAATTTTTTACGATCAATTTCGTTAACAACATCATGATAAATATGCAACATCACAATATGATTCAATTTTGTTTAGCCCATCGTTGATCGAATGTAACTTTTAAGACGTTTTAATGCTAAAAACCATTCATGCACTTCATGAACCGGGAATCGCCATAAGAAGCCGAACAAATTCAGGAAATTCGGGTAAAATATACCGAATGCCTAACTGCTTTCTCGCAATAATTGTCTTCTGTTGTCTATTTATTTCATGTGTTATGTTATGTATAAGTATATTAATCCAGAAAAGCAATAGAGAAGGACCTGTACCTACAGAGGCGTATAAAACCAACCTGTACGTAGGACTGGTAAAATAAAGATACATTTAAAAGTACAAAAAAAATACATAGAAAACTTACGGTTAAAATTTTTATAGTAAAAACGCATAATAAAAATTATTAAACTTATAAATAATTAATTTTAGTAATCACATAAGATTATACAAGCTAATAGACAAGATTCTATACAGGGTTTAAACAATTTTAATGGTCTTAGCATCGCTGGGGTTAAGACCCATTTTTTAAGTTTGTTTTATTACTTTTTTTGTAATTTATAGATTCTTAAGTTCTTTTGGAAGGCAGTTGAAATATTTGTATGCCGTTACCAAACAGCTTTTTTGACCATTAGTCTTTCTAGGTGCTAATGCAGTCTGTATAATCTTATTTCTATTAACGCTTCAAGACTTAATGTTGATCTTAATTCCTCATAGAAATGAACTAAGCAATTTAATATATATATATATATAGGATTGATTTATCGACATAGGCCTTTCTTCTGCAGTTTTGTGAAATATTTTTACAATTTTTTTTGCAAGGAATGTAAGGTATATAATACATTATTGTAAGAACCACTCCAAGCTATGATTCCGTAGTAGGCAGTATTTTGAAACAAATCATAGTAGATCATATTAAGAATGTCTTATGACATGCAATATTTCAATCTATGGAAGGCAAAAACCAAATATCGCAATTTTTTAACTTTATTAGTTACATGATTTTTAAATCTCATTTTATAATCTATAAGATACATCTAGATACATGTTGTCAGTTGCTTTTTTTAATTCTCTATCACCAATATCTAAATTAATGTTCTCTGTAAAAATATCCTCATAATTGTTGTATTACATGTAGACAAACTTATCAACATTAATCTTCAATTTGTTTACATAAGGCCACTTATTAATATAAACAAGAGGCTGATTCATTTTGAATTTGGTTTCAACCCAGGTTTGCTCTGAACTAAACACAACAGTGTTATCAGCAAACGATATAGCATTTTTTGTTATTAAATTTAATAGGCCATTGATGTAAATTAAAAATAAAAGAGAGCCCAAGACTATACCCTGGGACACCACATTTTATTACCAATAGATTACTTTTACTAGAACCGTATTTAACTATTTGCTTTCTATTGAAAAAATAACTCTTCAATAATTGGAATGCTGGGCCTCTAATTCCAATATGTTTTAGTTTAACTAAAAGCATGTTATATTCCACAGTGTCGAATGCCTTCGCAATATCGAGAAACGTGGTTACAATAGGTTTGTTTTTATCTAATTTTTCAAAAATCAAAGCTGTAATGTGTGAGGACATCATTGGTACTATGACTAGACCTGAAACCGTATTGATTGTTTGCAATAATGTCATCTTAAAGTGCCGGGATACGTGTAGCTATTATTTTTTCAAAAATTTTCTCAATATTTGAAACAAGAGCGATAGGTCTGTATTGGTTTGGCGAATTTTTGTTACCATTCTTAGAAACTGGAACCACTTCAGCTATTTTGAGTGCATCAGACCCATTTTGATTTGGTAATACACAAATTAAATAAGTGCTACTGGTTTCGAAATAAAGTTACTAATTCTTTATACATATGATTTAATGCTGTATTCATATTAAATGAATTAATGTTGCATATACCTACTTGTCACTATTAATATAACCATTTCCCTCCAAGAAACTAGCAGGTGGGGCCTCTTTTTACGGTGTAACACATATCCCATAAGGAAGGAGAAAGGATTTAAAAGAGAATTCTTATCGTAAATTTAAATATGTAGTATATTTCGTAAAATACGCAGAAAAAAATGACAGAAATTTTTAAAGAAACGTAATTCCGACTACGATTAAGATTTAATGTGAGGTATTTGTCTAGTTGGAAGCAGACTTCTAGATACAGTTGGAGAAGGTGAAGATTTTAGGAAATACGAACTGAAGAAATATTTAGAATCCGACAAAGATACAAAGGACGAAAATTTGTTAGAGTAGAATGGCTCGTTCTCAGCATTCTGTAACAAGTGTTCCAGCAGAACGCCTATTTTCAAAAGCTGGTTTGGTTGTAAAGAAGCATAGGAATAAACTAAATGCTGAGTCGGCCAGGACCATTGTTATGTTTAAATTGGAGATATACATGTTCACTAAAGTTGCAACTTGAGTGAAATTCTTGTCGTTAAGCGGTATATACAACCGATAAAACGCATAAGAGAACTAGCATTTTTGTCATGTTAGCGCGGAAAGCTTGTTTTGCGTGCTATGAAGTAGGGAAGAAATGGCCTCTTTTCAGCCATGTTTTAGTCGGTAGGCAATGAAATTAGTCTTTTGAGCGCATGCGCTGAAGTTTATGGGCATGCGCGGAAATCAGTTGTTCAATCACAATGTCTTTCTAACCTCTAAATCATTTACTCTTATTTTGCCAACCATCAATTTAATAACGAGCTTTCCGTACAAACATGACAAAAAGTAGTATACGTACCTCGGGAAGAAACAGGGTTGTCTCAGATTGCATGTTTGCTTCGGCTCGGGTTGCAATTCACATGCAGTCTGAAATAACCCTGTTTCTTCCCTTAATACGTAATGTACTATTGTATCGAAACATTTAATCTTGTCTCATCTCGTCTTTTTCCAGACAGCCATATATCGTCTTGTTTCCAATCAAAATTCTGTCAAGACGAGACAAAACATAAGCGAGTCGAGATGAAACAAGACCAGGCGCACACTTTATCTCGTCTCACTGCAACACTATTGTTCTTAAGTTTTGGGAAGTCCGGGATAGTTGAACCTCTTTTTGTTTAAAGTATCGTATTTTCTTATAAATAAGGCTTAGTGATTTAATTATAATAATAAAAAGTAGCTTGTTTATTTAGGTTTACTTATGCATAATTACTTTTTCGATATTATAGTACTGAAATATGTTATATATATTTGAATGAAAATTGGGATATGAGTGAACTCTCCCCATCCTTAGGGGCCACTTGAGTTGAACATTGCTTTTTAAAGGGTAAAATAAAAACATTTTGCAGCTTAAATCACATATATATTAAACAAAACATCACAAAATTAAATTAAATTATAATGAAACACAGTTATTGCTCTTCTTATAAAGAAAAAAAAAACAAAACTTCAACATATTCTTTAACATTCCACAATCAACATTTTGTTAAAAAAAATGGTAAAGGTCCCCGAAGGGGGTGGGCGGGATCGAAAGAGAAGGTCTCCCCCACCACTGTACCATAAAAAGTTCGTGGCGGTTCAAAGTTAATAAATATGNTTTTCTCTATGTGATGGGTTCGATTCCTGGCTTTAAAGATTATTTACAATACATTTATAATTGAAAAATGTTTACGTAAGCATGGGAGGAGGGGGTAAGAGCTTTGCTTACTTTTGCTGACAAGGGGGATGGGGGGGTAAATGATTGTAATAAATCTGTTACGTAATATTTGAACGGCCCCTTATATGTGCATTAGTATTTTTATGTATCCAATTAAATAAATTTTTAAGATTCATCGCAATTGCTTTGCTGACGATTCTTTTGGCGTTGGGGAAGCATTAAATGAATACGCCTATGGAAAAGGTTTGGTGGTTAGGGGTTCGCATTATTTTAGTTCCGGGTCATTCTTAAAATTAACAGGTTAACGAATAAAATTTATCGCTTTCGAAATGGTTTTGGTCTGTTACTATTTTTCAGGAGATCAAACCTTAGCTTCTCAACAGAAAGATATAGCACAACGTAAGCTACTGAGAGCGTGGACTTTCTTAGCTCCAACCGACGGTCTTTCTTTCAAGGAATACAAAGAGAAACACGTTTTACAGTACGAAGGACTCGTCAAAGCTTTGCCGAAGAATGTTCAAATCCTTACGCTTGAGCCTTGGATCGATCAATCGTTTTTGCTTCGATTAGAACATGTTTTCGAAGTAAACGAAGATCCCCATTGGTCGAGCAATCAAATCGTTGATCTCAATGTGAGTGATTCCTTATGAATTTATGAATCCCTTAAAATGGCTACAATATTTTATCAGGTAATTCTTCTTTTAGGACATTTTTACATCGTTTGAAATAACGTCAATAGAAGAAACGACTCTTGGCGCAAATCAGTTATTGAAAGAAAACGAACGTTTATATTTTACTAGAGAGACGAACGAATGTCGATTCGATTGGAAAAACGCAAATAAAATATATGACGCCACCAAAAAATTAAAAATTGAGCTGATGCCAATGCAAATAAGAACTTTTATTATAGATATTAAAAAGAAGTAGATAAATGACGAAACAGTGTACTTAAAAATCACAAACGGTTTTTATTGATGATGACATTTGGAAAAATATACATAAATTATATTGCTTTTTATTTGTTCATTTGTGCTTATTCATACTTAACCAACTACAAAAAAGGAGAATAATCTCGATTAGTTACCAAATTGTTTTGAATTATGTATGTATGTTACCGGAAATGTATGAAATCTAGAAATTGTATACAATTATACACACATATCCTGGGAAATGTATACATTTCCTAGGAATTGTATGAAATTTCGATATTATACTCATCATCATCATCATAAGGTCATCAGTCCTAAGACTGGTTGGACACGTACCTCCACTCTTTCCTATCCTGAGCTAAACTTAGCATTTCCCTAAAACTAGAACAGCCCACATCCTTAACTATTTGCGAACAGTAATCTAATCTAGGCTTACCTCTATCCCTCCTAACTCCTGTTTCTGCCTCTAATATGTCTCTGACTAGACCTTCATGCCTGAGAAGGTGTCCTACCAACCTATC